AAATAACAATGAATGAAATAAAATATAAAAGAAACAGAAAATAATAAAGAATTTAATGAAATATAATAAAATAAATAGAAAACATGATACAAGTATATTCAAAATATTTTATTACTAAAGAGATAAACAATGATAGAGTTGAATTAATCATTCATTATAATAATCATTTAATTTGTTATTCATCTCTTATTTTTATTTACACTCTTGTTTTCATAATTATACAATAATTATCATTATGATACTTTTTCATTTTATATTTATTCATTTAATAATTTATTAATATCATTATTTCATACATACTTTCATTGTATATTATTTATGAAGTTATTCAATTGATATTTTTATACTTTGTTTATGTTGAATAAAAAATGAAATTTAAGAATATCAATAATATGTTAAAATGATAGAATTACATATTGAAGATAAATGATAATAAAGATAAATGAAATACATTTAGAAATAACATATATTTAAATGAATAATAAAATAAATGAAAATAAAATAGAAAATAGAATAACATTATTAATCTTATTAATCTTATTAATCTTATTAATCTTATTAAATAAACATTGATTCACATTAACATTGTTATTAATAAGATTCAATTATAATTTTAAATCAAATAATATAATTATTTATGATGAAAATAAATTAGAATAAAAGAATCTAATTAAATTTATTTTGATTCTTCAATGATATTCATCATTTCTCTTGTTAATAAATTATGAATTCTTGTATTTTTATAATGTAATAAATAATATGTTTATATTAACTAAATACAATGACAACAATAAAATATTCATATTTTTCATTATTTGAATACATTATTTCATTTATTTATTTCATTCTGAACATCATTTACATTATTCTTGATATCATAATTAATTAATATAAAATATAAATCAATATAATGACATTTCATGATTTAATATTTGAATAAATTATATAATAAATCATGTATGAAACAATAAAAATACAATAAAATCATTATCAAAACAAGAATATAATAATATCATATTTATTCATTGAATACAATTTTCAATATTGAATCATTAAAATGAAATATTTATTCAATTTATATTATTCTCTCTTTTTTAAATCATCTTTATTATATTTCATTTCAATTTCATGTTTATTCATTTGTGAATGAAAATATAAATGAAATATATTATGAAATTAAATTATAAATATAAAGAAATGACAAATATGATAGAATAAATAAAGATAAATAAGAAATACAGAAATTTGTAATAAAAATAACAAATAATAGATATACCCACAATTTGATATTATAAATATTGAGAATTGATTATTTAGTGATTTCAATATGTTCTATTTCTACAATAGAGTTCATTTCTAACATATGAGAATTAGAAAGTTCATCTTCTAATGTGTTGCTAGTGTTAAATATGTAGAACATTAAGTATTTCATGTTTTTAATAATGATTGTTCGTAGTATTTTGTTGAAGTCAATTTGTAATTTTAGTGTTTTTAATCTTCTTATTGTTTCTTTATGTATTAATTTATTGTTAATATTACAAGTATTATTTCTACATAAATTAATTCTCTATTTTGTATTAACTTCTCTTGTAATTCTTTGTATTTATTTATTTTGTAAATATAATTTAATTCATTATTTCTATCTTGACATATATCAATATCATTAATATATCATTTTTATCTTTGATATTTTGATAATATATATCTGGTATTCTAACATTAAAAGAATTGTCATTAACAAATAAATCAATAATTTAATATAAGAATATATTAATATTAATACATTTATGATATGTATTAAAATCAATTTTCATCAAATTTAATAAAATATGTAAATAATATATGTTTATATATTTGTTTAAATACATATTCATGTTTTAATATTTGATTATTATTCATTATTTTATTTATTTATTTTGATTTATATTTTATTATTTATATTATTTATTTTATTCATGTATTTGATATTTATATTTTAAATATATTCTTATTATTTAATTATTTCATTTCATATTAATATTATTCATATTCTTATTTCATTTAATTTAACTTATAATTTATTTTTATTGATATTTATATTATATAAATACAAATAGATTAATAAAATTGATATTTATTTATCTATAATATCAAATTCATTTAATTTATATTTAATAATAGAAAATCATAAGATAAAATATAGAATATAAGAATAATCAACAATAATAAAATAATAATAAAGATATAAAAGATAATAAATAAATATGATAAAATAGAAGATATAAGAAATAATAAACATATACAATAAATAATAATAAATATTTTAACACAACAAAAAAGAATAATATCAAAAAGAATAAATAAGAAAAGAATAATAATAATATAAATGATAATCAATTATAACTTGTTTCTACTTCAAATTATATTGTATTTCATTTATTGTATTTTTATTTCATTCACCACCATTTAAAACATTTTCTTGGTATTCTTTTATTTTTCATTAATTCATCTTCACATCCACATCCATAAAAACATCCATCTCCAAATGATATAATTGAAGATGGTATATTAATTGATTTTAATGATGTACATAAATAAAAACATTCATCTCCTAATTTACTAATTGATGATGGTATATTAATTGATTGTAATGATGAACAATAACTAAAACAACAATCTCCTAATTCATTAATTGTTGATGGAATATTAATTGATTTTAATGAATAACATCCATTAAAACAATAATTTCCTAATTTAGTAATTGAAGATGGAATAATAAATTTATTAATGTCTTTCTTTTCAATATTCTTTCCATTGATTATTTGTAGATTTTCTGGTATTTGAACACTAACTAGTACTGGTTCATTCATAAATATTCTATCTTCACTAATAAATTGTAAATTATCTATATTCATAGATGTTAATGATGAACATTCTCTAAAACACCAATGTCCTATTGATATAACTGGTGATGGTATATTAATTGATGTTAATGATGAACATTCTTCAAAACATCTATCTCCTAATTCACTAATTGATGATGGTATATTAATTGATATTAATGACGAACATTCATAAAAACATTCATCTCCTATTTTAATAATTGATGATGGAATATTCATAGATGTTAATGATATACATTTATAAAAACAACCATCTCCTATTTTAATAATTGATGAAGGTATATTAATTGATTTTAATGATGAACAATAACTAAAACAACAATCTCCTATTTTACTTATTGATGATGGTATATTAATTGTTGTTAATGAATTACAATATTCAAAACATTTATACCCAAGCGATTTAACTTCTAATGGTATTATATTTCCATATTTATTTCTATCTTGATATGTATATTTTATATTTTTACATTCATTCCATGCTTCTTTCTCTTTTAAATATTTTGAATAATTTACTGGATACCATATTACTTGTTTAAATATTTTTCCATCATTAAATGTTTTATCTTTTTTATTATAAATATGAAATGTTTCAATATTAGTAAATAATTTTCTTGAATATTCATTTAATGGAATTGGATTAAAATGAAATCGTTCTATATTTCCTTGAAATCTTTTAACTCCTATTTCTAAATTAATAAAATCTTTAATATCATTAAAATACATTGATGTTATCATTATTTCATTATATCCTAATTTCATTATTGATTTATTATTTATTAGTTGTTTTTATTAGTTCTTTTATTTTTATATTTTAATTTCTTCTTTTTTATTCTTTATCATCATTCTATTTTTATTAATTGATGTTTATTATAAAAAACAATAAATAATAAGAAATAAAATAAAATGTTATTTATTTTTATTTTTAATAAATTATAATTATTAAATATTTCATTTTATTTTATATTTTATTCATTATTTCATTTTATATTTTATTTTTATTTAATAATATAATAATAAAATATGATAAAAGATAATAAATACAATAATATTCGCTACAAAAAAAGGAAATGAATAGAAATGAAGAGAAAGAATGATATAAAAGAGTGAAATTAAGAAGTAGAAGAAGATGAAAAGAATAAAAGAAGAAAGTTGAGAATATAAAATGAAAGAAGATAAAAATGAATAATTCAAAAAGAGATAATAAAAAATGAAAAGAGTGATGAAATAATGGATGTATTTTTTATGACAGAAATTAGAAATATGAAATAAAAAAGTGTTTAATTTATTGATGCAAATTATTTAACAATATTTTATTGATATAATTTATTTTATTCATTTTTATTTATATATATTATTTCTTTGTTTATATGTATTATTTCTTTGTTTATTTTGGTCCTAGATTGAAATATTATTTAAATGAATATGTTTATATTAATAATTAATTTGATAAATTAATTATAAATCATTTAGTTTTATGTTTGATATTCATAATTTATTATTATTATTGTTTCAATATCAGTTTCTCATTTGAATTTATGTGTTAATGAAGATATTGTAAATCAAATTGTTTAATTATATTATTTTATTGTTTACTTCATTTTATAATAAATAATAATAAGAATATATTTGAAAGTATCAATTAATGTTGATAATAATCAGAATATAACAA